CGTATACTGGTTCATTGCGTGCTGTCTATCCTTTATCACCTCGAAGGTCAGTTCCGCCACATATCAAGAGGCCTGATTATGCCGACGATCCGAAAGGTTTGAATATGGAGGTTAATCGTATAATATTACCGATAGCATTTAATATTCATGATGATTATTATTAGGTGTGTCCAAATCTGAAATGAGCATCTCAAATAGTATCATACAAGTGCTGAATAATGATGAAATCGAAGCCATGCGAAAAGTGTGCAAGGTTTGTTGTTCGACTTCTACATTTGCTAGAGAGATCGAAATTATCTTGATTATGTGAACCATTTTGAATGAAACAAATAGCTTGCTAGAGAAGTTTTGGATATCGGTGCAGCTGCTATCAAACCTGGCATAACAACCGACGAAATTGACAGAATCGTACACGAGGCTACTATAGAACGTGATTGCTACCCATCACCTTTGAATTATTACGAATTTCCAAAATCAATTTGCACGTAAATGCACGATTTCAAAAAATCCGTTTATTTCTAGTTCAAACTTAATTTACATAAATATTATTAACTTTAGATCAGTGAATGAAGGTATTAAATAAATATGATTTAACACATTCGTCGGTTTTATCATCAAATATCACTGCTACCGGCTGACGTTATCTTGATCCTTCTGTTAGTTATTTGTCATGGTATTCCTGATCGTCGAGAGCTAAAGGAGGGTGACATCATCAATTTAGATGTGTCTCTATATCATGATGGATTTCATAGCGATTTAAATGAAACCTATCCTGTTGGTCGTATAGATACGGATAGTCAGAAACTTATAGATACAGCAAAATAATGCTTGAATAAAGCCATTGAATGTGGTAAGTATGTATAATTGCTCTGCAAACAAAGATGTAGACTTATTAATATTTTTGTAAATTCTATAGTGAGGCCTGGATTTTTATACCGTGATCTTGGTGCAGTAATTGAGAGAAATGCAAAGGCCAATAATTGTTCAGTTGGTCGTACTTATTGTGGTCATGGTACCCATAGGTATATTTATTGGCTTTCTAGCTTTTTGTTGCATTTTATATTTATTAGATTGGTTTTTACTTTTTTTTTTTCTCCTAGGCTATTTCACTGTCCACCAAATGTTCCTCACTATACAAGTAAGCTTCATTCTAAAGATTTTCTATCCTTTTTTTT